GATTCTGGGAGTGGAAGTCCTCCCCTCTTAAAGCAGGCTGGCTGGGGAATTCTGGGAAAATAAAATCCACCTGCCTTAAAGTTGCCAAGGTTGATAAACACTGTGTTGATCCAACATTACAGAATGCACACGTTTATCTTTAGAAGATGTCCTCAGTTGGACAAAGTGAACTCCAGAAATATGCAAATAGAAGAATTTTCCTGATTGCTCAGTTGCTGCCAGTTTGCAAAGATTTCCCCTTCGGATATACAGTATAAAAGTTGGACTTTGCCAACGGTTTAGATCTGGATTGCTTTGTTTTCTTAGATATTCAGATTTCTTATCCCTTGGTTGGCTAGGGAACTCTGGGAGTTGAAGTCCACGGGCCAAGTCAGATACGCCTACCCTGTTTCTCCAACAATACGGCCTCCCCCAACAGGAAGTCCCAGCATGTTTTATAGGCATGAAATGAAATTAAGCCCCTCCCCCCAAATTAAGGCCTATATTAAAACATGCGAAATGGGGGGGAATGGCAGGGGGGGCTTGCCGTTAGGAAGTACTTTTGTTGCACACCCGGATATGGTGCTGCCTGCATTGACCCCGATACGAAGTGCCCCACCAACGCCGAGGTCAACATCCAAGTTGTCGCCGCCCGCCCGCCTGAAGATGCAAGGGGGGGAATTAAGTCACCCCCGAAAAGACGGCTTAGCCATTTTTTTCGGGGCTCAAAAAAAAAATAAGACCCGGCCTTATTATATGAGAAACACGGTATTTTAGAATCTCCAAATGTCGTTTCGAGCAGCTTGTTGGTGACTTTGCAGGATTGGAAGAAAGCAGCGAAGCCTCCATTTTTCTTCTTCCTCTTCTTTGACAGATCTAAGGAAACAGGCCCGGCAGCTGGAAAACGAACTGGACCTCAAGCTGGTCTCCTTCAGTAAATTGTGCACCAGCTACAGCCATGGCAGTTCTCGCGATGGAAGACGCGACAGGTATAGGTACTGTCACGCTGCTATTTCATTCGATTTTTCATTGCGATGGTCAGTTTTGTTTTTTTCCCCCGTGCCCGACAGCCCATTTCCTCCATTTGCTTTCGTTTTTGCGCTTCTGGACATTTGCAATTTTTAAATTTGCAGGAATAAGGGAGCCTCGCTTGGAAAATTCAAAAATCTGAATAGGTAAGGCCTTCCCTTTCCTCAATCCAGGCCTACATTTGCAGCTATTTTACGTATTTAAATGTATTAAATTTTTGCAAATATTGGAAAAGTAATCTTCGACTTGCAACCACAACCACCACCAAAATTTCTGTTATTCAAGGGACATCGGTTATGTGAGCTTTGCTCCGTTTTTACTCCCTTTCTTGCTGCCACTGTTAAGTGAGTCGCTGCAATCGATAAGTCGGTAACGTGGTTGTTAAGCGAATCTGGCTTCCCCATGGATTTTGCTGGTCGAAGTGATTGCAAAAGGGGAATCCCGTGACCTTGGGACACTGCGACGGTCGTTAAGTGTGAACCCAGTTGCCCAGCGTCTAAATTTTGATTTTCATGGGGATGCTGCAAAGGTCGTGACTCTGAAAAATGGGTCATAAGTCACTTTTTCTCAGTGCTGTTGTCTAACTTTGAAGGGTCGCTAAATGAACTATTGTAAGTCGAGGAAGACTTCTATTGAGGTGGTTTGGAGTCCAGCCAGTTTGAATACTTGAAATGCGTTTAAAAATGAAATGAGAGCCAGTTTGGTGTAGCGGTTAAGGTGCCCATCTAGAAAGCAGGAGGCGGTGAGTTCTAGTCCCATCTTAGACATGAAAGCTACCTGGGTGCCTTTTGGCCGGTCACCAAGAGACAAGGAATTCTAGTCC